ACATTTTCGACCCCGGGAATGTGACTGACGGAGGCGACGACGACTACGAGGACGAACTACAATGAGGCCGTTCGGAGTCGACACCAAGCCGCCGGGAGTGGCGTGGCGTCAAAAGTGACTCCTAAAATGACTCCCGATACTGACAAGAAGAAACTGACACTTACCAAGACTGTGAGCAGCAGCCCCGGGAACAGCAAACTCAGGGTTACGCCCACAACCACAACCAATACTATGATGCCACCATTACACGGAACTTCGGCAGCTACCCGAACCATGGAAGGGAGCTACGAAGACCCTGACAAGGGTGCTTCTGAATCAAGACTACAAGACCAGGAGTGCCTTATGACCAGAGGAGATCCAAACTCCGTAGATGGCATGACTACTAAGACCGGACGAGACGAGTCCCCTACTAACGATGAAGACCAAGCTCTCGGCATCAGACGAATCGAATACCTGACCGATGAAGCACACAAGACTCCAGGGTTCCCGCTGGACGCGACCCTGCAGACAAGTATAACACAACAACCAAATGAAACTTACACCAACACTGAATCACCGCGCTTGCAAGCGGTTGACCCAGCAAGCTTTAAAGGCGCTACGATTCCCCCGCCCCTTACGAACGCGAAGGCTGACACCCGGCCTCCCGGTCTAAAGGCCGCCGTGCGCTCCCCGAAAACAGCCACTTCGCAGGCCACGACTACTGCAACTACCCCTGGGATTTAGAGCTTCAAAAACCGGGGATCAAAGAAGCTTAGACCTCCCGCTACGCCCGGACCGCGTTCGGCAAAGACAGGGGAGCCCACGAACCTGACAGCCACCCCTGGTTACGAAACTGGGCCTTCTCCCAGGGTGACTCCCGTCTTTACGGAAGCCCAAATCGAAGCGATCATGCGGGGCGACCTAACGGGCATCCCCGAGTCTCGGCACGTAGATATCGAGGAGCGCCTGTACCCTGTCTCACCAGCCGACCTGAAACGTCAGCTCGTCCGACTCAAACAAGAAAGAAAGGATGTCACTCAAGAGGATATTGTAAAGGTGGTTACAATGGCCCTTCGCCGGCCCTTGACACGGGACGACGCACATTTGTTCGAGTCACCTTCGAACATCGACGATCCCGATCGCTGGCTCGATTGGTTCTCCAGTACCCTGAAAACATGCGACGAGGCCCGGACGGCTAACCGCAACTTTAAAAACGCACGAGTGGCGATTATTTCCGACACGCGGTGGTCACGTTTCCAGCGAAAAAACCTGGCCTCAAACGAGCTACCCGGCTTTGGACCCATCCCTGAAACCGATTGCACGCCACCCGAGGGTGACGTCCTACCTATCGGCGGTACTAAAATTCCCCGTCTACCCGCTCAGCAACTGGTCAAAGTCCACGGAGCCGTACAGTACCACTTAACCGACGACAGGGCCTCTTTCACCCTACCATTAAGGGACTTGGAACTCACACGACTACCCTCGGCCATCTGGCGCATCCGTCGCAGGACGCTCTCATCTCGGCGCCACTACCTGGACCTCGTCCTCGGAGGCCATCACATTGAAAGCAACCCCGCCCCCCTTGACGGCCGGTCGCAAACCCCGGAGTCTCTCTCCCCGGGGGCCGTTGACTCAAACGATCCTCTCGAGGCCCCGACGGTCGAATTGCCGTTCCTGGGCCTAAACGATGACGAGCTCCTTTCAATGGTAGTACCATTCCCTCGACCAGACCAAAAGGTGTGCCAAGTGGGTTCCAATCCAAACGCCCCGTTGGTTCAGGTCTGCATCCAAACGGCGGACACGCTCGCGTTAGTGAATACAGGAGCTTCCGTGACGGTAATTAGCGAGGCGTTCTGGAACGAACTCGGGAGCCCTCCTCTCAAAAACCGGCGTATGGGTTGGTCTCGGCATCCAACACGCCTATACGAACGCTTGGCCTCCGGTACCTCAGCATCACTCTAGCGGAAAAACAAACAACCTTCCCGGTATGGGTACTGGTCGACTCCGTCAGCCCGTGCATTCTGGGGATTAACCTGTTGCGCAAACTCAAGGCCCTCGTCAACCTCTCAACCAACTGTGTTGGCTTTGGGGATTCTCCCATCACCCTACCGTTCCACACCGACGAC